GTTACTGCTTTGAGATGAGGAAGGCATCAGTCGGTACAAGGCTGTAAAACAGCAGAAAGCTCTCATAGCCTTCAGAGTAGTGGGCTTGAGTTAGCTGCTACAGCCAGAGGCAAAACAGGTAATCACAGAAGAAAGAAAGGATTGCTGTGCTGATGTGAGGATGCAAACAAACGTGTTGCAGAGGTGCCATTCGGCGCTCTCTTTTTCATTTTTTTATTTATTCTATTTACTTACTTATTCAGGTTAACAAAAGCTGTCCGTCTGCAGTGCTCTAACTCTTTGTCAGCAGTTCTGCCCATCTGTTATCCAGATTTAATTATTAGGGTTTAAAATTTAAAGAGTAAAAAAGCTGATAATGGAATATCAGTGCAGAGGCCTTCACAACCCTGACAGTTGCCGTTTTCCTCTGAAAGGACTGATGTTTTATCTGAAGATACCACTTCCTTTGCTGAATCATCTTCAGTGACCGTTACTGCAGGTTTTTTGAAAAGCAAAGAATAACACTAAAGAATTGGCTAAGCTAAGTGCTATGTAATGAAGATCTATTAAAAATTAGTCTTCATTAATTTCTCTCAAGTCTAAAAGAAATGGTCTGTGGCTCCTCTGAAGATTTTGGATAATCTCATTACACTTATTACGACAATGATGACATTTGAGGAACAGGAGGCTTTACTGCGGAGTAGATTCTGTTTTATAAGTAAAACTTCTGCTGAAGTCCTTGAAATTTTAGGGAATGGTGAGGATTAAAAATGCATATTTTAGAAGAATATTTCCCAACTTAAAAATGCATGTATGAAAACGCTTCACTACAGACTGTATGTAGTATGCCTGGTACTAAAGAATATTTACACTGGAAACCTAAAAGGACCTCGTAGAGCCAGAACTTGTGTCGTGACAGGTTCTTCTGTTTGCTCAGAGCTGTCTTTTTCCTAGAAGGACTCCTTCAGCACAAGGGTGGAAACAACTATGAGAAAACTATGAGTTTGTGTCATCAAACTTGCTTATGTTCTTAATTAATTGAGGCACTGATGACTGGAATATTCTTAAAATCAAAACTTGGAATCTGTTCAGAGGTTTCATTTAAAAACCTGCTCCAAATGTTTTCGAAACTGCCTTCCCATCCCCACTTTTGCTATGGGGACCTCTTTCATTATTTGTTTTAAAAGAAGTTATCAGATTTTACCCTGATGTTATGCCAGTCCTATTTAAGAAAATGCTTCTCTTAAATTACTGGTGCACAGATTTTACAATTAAAGTGAGGTTAATTGATTTTGTTTTTCTTTCACTGAAAGGTGAAGCCTTTTTTTAATTACAGTGAATGTTATTTGAAGTGCACTTAGTGTTTTCCTGTTCACAAGCAACTTGTGTTCCTGTAAGTTTAGAACCAAAACCTACTGTGCATACCTATTCTTGTGTTATTGAGATACTACTGTGCTCTGTACTTTTTTTTTCTTAAGTCTTGCTTTGTAGTTGCATGAAGATCTAATATGCTGTATAACTGCAGTAACTCTCGCTGCATCTGTGAGCCAGTTTGAAATGACTCAAAAAAAACCCCAAACCAGCTCAGGTGTTTTGGGGGCTATTATCTGAAGATGTTCAATCTGTTTTAAAATAGACTGAAGCAGAGGGCAAAATTGTTTTTCCAAACGAATCTGGGACACGTTGTAAGAAAAGTATACAAGAGATGCATAACCTCCACTATTTACTTATCTGTGTTTTCTTTTTGCTCCCTAGTAGTAATTTACAGTGTCATAATAATCTTCCTTCGAAAAGGTAGTTTGCCAAATGAGATGCTGTTTTTTGGAGAACATTACCAGTCTAGCAGTCCTATACTAGGTGCCCTTTTGGAGAGGGAAAAAAAACCCCAAACTAAACCAAAATGTGGGCAGGGATGGAATAATGGTTCATGATGAAATGGATTGGACCCATCCGTGGGAGGACTGTGACCCTCCCCGAGGGATACCACTCTTTTTGGGATGTGCTTAGGCAAAGGGACTCTCGGATGTTTCCCTGTCAGTTGACATTATAAAGGTCTTTGTTCACATTTTCAATCATCCATCTCTGTGTCTGCCATCAGGGGGTTCTTCTTCCTTTTGTGTTCAACTACTCTTGTAGCTACAGCAAAGGCATATGAGGCGGTTAGATGGAGCCTGCCATTCTACTTCTAGATTTTTCACAAAAACCTTGGCAGTGCACAGTAAGCAGGACAGAAAGCAGCTGCATTATGCTGTGAGATAGTTTGGTAGCCTAGGCAGCGTGGATGGTGTTGTAAGTCACCGACTGATACATCCTAATTGGTCTGAAAGCTGATTTGATAAGAAGCTTTCCATTCTACCTGCAGGAGCCATCTCATCTCCCAAGGCTCAGAGCGATGTGTCGCTAAGGCAGGCTTTTCCATTAGCTTAGTTAACCATTATGAAAGGGTGGTATTAGGGAAAGTTCATTCTGCCTGTTCAGCAAGCTGTGATAACCACCCTGGAAGGGGCAAAAAAGGTAGGTTAGGATGGCAGAACTTTGTGCAAGGGATTCCTGGGTAGCTATTATAGAAGTAACTGGTGGAGAACCTAAGCTTATACATAGCCGTTGATGTTAGGGTTACAAACTGCAAAGTCCACAGGATTCTCTTATCTGTACTGCTGAATTGCGTGGTTTTTGACAAACAAGATTAGACACAGGAGAAGCTTTAAATTCTTTGTAAGAAAGTTCAGTCCATTGTTTACTTGGGCAACCACCTGCAGTGGTGGTTTTAGTTCATTAGGTTTGTCGGTCCAGTCTAGCACTCGACTAGAACCTAATCACCCTACAGTTGGTGGTAGGTATTCACCTGCATTCATGCATTGCTTCAGAACAAGCGTGTACCTTGAGCAAATCTGATTGACCCTACTTACTGCTCTACAGTGTGCACCACGGAGCAGGCTCAGAGCATATGCATTGGATCCCTTTTCGCACGAGACCAAATGGGAAAACATGCTCTAGGAGCTCAACTTCTGAGCTCCAAGCTCTAATGGGATGTTCAGCCTGTAAGACTATACAAGAGCTAGTCTGAAATAAAGTCCCTTTCATGCATGTAGTACAGATACTGGGTATTCAGGATACAACTGGTTTACTCTGCAGATCTTCTGCTGTTCTGCACTATTTGCCAACATAGATGCTGTAAACTTGCTGTCCTGGGATACTTTTCATTTTGCAGATCAAAGGTAGTAACATGGAAAGAGTAAGCATTTCAATTTTGTGCTCTTCTTCCTTGAAGACACAGTTAAAAATAATTTACTTTGTCGTCTTGACTCCAGATGTATGCTCGCGTCTTCTGTCTCCATCCTGTATGTTGTCTCCTTGCCTACTTTTCTTCTTTCCTTGATTTTCTTATAGCATTGAGAGGTTGCCAAAAGATCATGTTCTGTGTACTTGTGAATTTTTATTCGCTTATTTTACTCTTTGGCACCATCAAGGACAGGATTAATTTTAAAGACACATGATTCCCTGGAGGTATTTAAAAGAAGGGTAGATGAGGTGCTTAGTGACATGGTTTAGTGGTGGGATGGCAGGGTTAGGTTAATGGTTGGACTTGATGATCTTAAAGGTCTTTTCCAACCTAAACGATTCTACGATTCAGTGTGCTTCCCCCCCCCGCCCCCGCCATACTGAGTGACCATAGTGTCAGTTGCCAGCAAATAGCAAGATGTTCATCACCACAGTGACATCTGTGTCAAATGCTGTTGCCCATGGTCCCAGAGGCTGTGAGGAGCAGCCCAGTGTTCCTGCTCCATCCTGGGTGTGTTCAGGCTGTCTAACATGATCTTGGGAGAGTGCAAGGACTGAAGGATGGCTGGTGAGTGAGTGGAGGGGGTCTTACCAAAAGGTGGAGAACTATGGCAAAAGCTGAGTAGGCATGGTTGCGCTGCCTAAGTAGGCAGCCTGAGCAGTGCAGGCTTACACAGCCCTGATAGTCCCAGAGGTAAACTTCCAGTGCTGCTTGTAGTATCATAAACCAGCAGAGAATTTGCTCTATATTTACATATCTTACACAGCAGCTAATGACAATGAATTAGGTCTTATGCATAATTTAGTCAATTGAGAAGGCTTTTCTTCTTCAGAAGTTACTATTCTGTATGTAAACAATCTGGGTGATTTTGGCACGCTTCCCCCTGGCACAGTTTCCTTCTCTATAGCACAACTGACAGCTGCAGTTAAGTAGATCTGTTACTTAAAGATAAAAAGCCGTATCGTCTCACTGCCCCTTCCCTGAATGGGAGTAGCTTGCCTTTGTGTTTTTTCTCAGTTCTGTGGCAGCTACTTCACAGAGTGCACTGATACAGTGGTAAAGTTTACTGTGGTTATGAAAGTTTGCTGAGCAATGCCATGGTGGATTGAAGACCTTCCTTTGGTTTTCCTTAACAGAGATTGTGTCTTGATTTGCTTAGAAAGCTCTCAGTTATGTTTCTGAAATCAGTCATCATTCAGCTGGGCTTCAATTTCTTGAGGAAATTGCATTCACCTCATTACAGTTTCAATCATTTAATTTTTTGTAGCCATTTTTGAACTTAACATGATTTTCCTTCTGGGCTGATAACCTATTTGGTCCTTGTAAACATATGTCAGATATTAAGGTTTTTCCTGCCTTGCGAGATGGTTTGTCAAAATGTGATCGTTCATCTAATTGTCTGCCTTTATTTCCTTATGGACTGATTTGTGCCTAAGGTTTATAATTTTGTAACGTTGTATGATCTTTGGTTAAAGATATATTTTTGTTGTCTTTAGTGGTCAATGAGAGTGTACTGCAGTATGTTGGCATTTAAACCACGAATGTCCAGTATTCTTTTAAATAACACATCCATGCATTTGTATTTTGCTCAACCTTTTCCGTCCTGTCTGTTTTCTGTTGAAACAGCTTTCTTAAAAGTAATGTTAGTGTGAAGTCCCTTAAAAACTGTATTTGCTCTACAGACTGTTGTTATGACCAGTGCTTGGGGCTGGAGTGCTGTAAGGGGACAGAAAGAGGAATGGGCATCAATATGTCAGTTGTGGAGATCCCCAAGTTCTGGGTAAGTTAGCAAAAAAGCAGATGCTGGAAAGTGCCTGTCAAGCCACAGGGGAGTTGCATTGACATAGTCAAGAAGCAGTGCTAATATTATTTATGGGAAGAGCAGGCTTCCAAGCAGAGAGTGAAACATTTTCAGGGACAAAGCTGCCCATGGGAATTCAGCCCATCTTTTTCGTCTCCCTCAGCTCTTCTTCTCTCCCCTGTCCTTCTTTGTGCTGCCCCTACTGCCAGAAAGATGTTCCCACATACCTAGCAAATATGTGGGGCTGTTGTCCCCACCCCACCCACAGCCCCATGAGACTCATCTGCGTGGACTTGGTGTTAGGAGGGGAGGGCTCCTGTTGGCATCAGGAGCATTAGCAGCTAGGGATGGAGAGCAGGGAGCTGCTTAAGGAAATGAGGGGCATCAGGATTTTTGCAGGGGGTTTGTGTGTGTGTATAAGAAGGGAGGGCAGGGGACAGGATGGGGGAGATACAAAGTGCAGACCATCCCTGGAAGAAAGGGTAGTACAGTCTAGAAAGTCTGAGACCTCATGAGCTACTTCTGGTAGCTGGTGTATATGGCAAAATACATCATAGATGCGCTATTTTTTTAACACTGGCTTAACCCTAAGAGTCTGGCTGTGGTTCACTGGAGCTTCTGGCATCTTGCGGTTACAAGGATTAGGTTATGGTGGTGACCACTGTTTGGCACTTAATGTTTCAGGTGGTTAAAGAGTTCTAAGAAGTTTTAATTAACTTGAAACCTGTTCATCTTACAAATACTACTTTGTACTATTCAGCTCCTTTGTGTTTTTCAGCTCCACCGCATAAATTAGCTGGGAGTGAGGGGGATAGGGAGGAAAGATGCCTTTCTAGCCTTCTGTCTCCCAGCCAGCTGGTCTTTGTCTTGATGGTGTAATTCATATATGAAACATTGAATGCAGTCTGTTTGGTTGGCTGCACGTGGCAACAGCTGACCAGACAGCCAGTCCATACCATGCATCATGATTACCTGGATAGCTTGCATATGAACTTGCATCCTGTCTGCTTGAGTGATAGATCTGTGTTTGAATGCCTTAAATATTGGAGCCAGGCACCTCTTTTGTTCCAATATGAGTTAATGTTTTATGAGGCTAGCTTGGCCAGAGGCTGAACCAGCGAGTTACACTGAATAGTGAGCAAAAAACTTCTCTTTTCCTCTATTCTTCCTTCACCTTTTTTTCCCCTACACATTGTATCAGAATGGTACAGATATAATGGTAGCATTTTTTTTCCTTTCATAACACATGTTTTTATGAACTGTTTGGCTCATAAACTTTCTCCTGCCTGCACTTAGAGATGGAGGGAAGACAGTCACTTGAAAATCTTCTTATTTAATGGTTCCCTTTTGGGCTTCTCTGGGTGACATCTATATTCTCAGCCTTTGGTATCTCAGTTAGGGAATGGTTCATCCTGAGCTGGCTGTCAAGAAATGAAGTGGCCTTTTGGGGATATTGGCAAAATGCTGGCTGGCATGAAGGTGATTTATACAGGATGCTGGGAAGTGGTGGGGTTCGTCTTCATTTTTCAGTTGTTCAAATAGGGAAAATGTTCACAAATCCGTGTAAGCTTTATAAGCTAGTAGTATCTAGCCTGCATATGCATGTGTGTGTGTACAGTTACTTACTTGAATATGTGTGCTATGATGATGATAGGAATTTCCAGAGAGTCACCGCGGCATGGCTCGGTGGATATTTGAAAGTGACACTGAGATATGCTCGATATAAATCCATAATTATTAGGTGCAACTGGGTGAAAACAGTTAGCTGAAGATCAAGGAAAACATGAAACAAAATGGATAGCCATGGAATGAGGACATGGTGGCTCCACTGGGGGCTTTGCTAGCTGCTATGAGTAGTGACCTTCTCTAGATTGAATCCCATCAGTCACCAGATACTGAGGAACCTGGGTAGTTACGTGTTAGTCTTTAACGTCAAGATATGAGTATGATAGTCTGTTTATTTTTTAAGTTCACATCTATTTGATCATGTATTCTGAGCATTTACTTTTCTCAGGGGACTAAAACCAAAATAATTCTTTTCTTGAGAACACGCAAGATTCAGCAGAACAGGTAAGCACTTCTCTTCTGAGACAACTGCTGCATAATTTTACAAAATTTTCCAGATGTAGCTTTGTCTTTTTTTTTTTTTTTTTTCTCCATGTGTATGGAAGGCAAAACCCTTCTTCAGAGTAAATCTGGCTGGCATTTTATTTGCTTGTATATCTCTTCATAACAGTAATGCCTAAAAGGATGCTTTTAGTAAACTACCCGTATAGTGCCTCAGCCAGTTCACTGCACTAAGCTTTATTTGTTCCAGTGCTACGGTACGTTTGTTGTAGTGCTACCTTGTCTTTCAGTTATCATTATCTCCTTTGTTTCTTCCCCCTGTTCTGGTTTGAGGCAGCCTAGGTTGGTAAACTAGCAGAAAGGGATGACCTAAGCCAAAGGAGGCTGTGGGATTGAAAGTGTGAGATAATACTTCAGTATAGATAATAATAAAAATATTGCAATGAACTCTAACTCATCAGTATACCATGGCGCTATAACAAAGGACATGCCAAATGTGTTTGTTTCTAGGCTCCGGTCAGGTGAAAAACTGCAGACTTCTGACTCTTCCTTTCGAAGTGTGAGGTGGGCATTGAATGGGCGTACCGCTCCATGTGTAAGACATGACAAGTCCATAAACTGAAGAGAATACTGAGTTACCAGAAATACTCATCCTTTGAAGTGCTGGAGTGCCCAGTTTCGTCAATCTGAAGTTTCATTGGAAACTTCCTATGTAAAAATACAGTGGATGCTAAAGGGTAGCCCTGTGCAAGTGCAGAACAGATGAGGCTTCAGGGCTTGAGCCTGGGCACCACTGTACTGAAGGCATTGGGTTTCCACCCAAATGCAACAAGCTGTCTCCATGCCACGCTTGGCAGGGCCTGAGCTTAAGGCACCGCCACTTTGCTCATCTCGCTCATAACCATCCAGGCTCTGTATCACTTAACCGGGTGCAATGCCTGGGACACATGTAGACTGAGTGTTTTTAATGTTGGTTTTAGGAGTTCTACTTAATAAATACTGCTCCCTGCACCATGGATGAATCATCTAGGAGCACTGCCAGGGAGAAGACATCACAGAAAGTTGGGACTAGAGTTCATGCTCACGTAAAGTGGCATTAACTCATGGGGATGCTCATACTGACCTCAGTGACAAGGTTACAGAAACGGCACTCAGGCAGAAAAACTCATTGCCTCAGCTAGACAATGAAATGCAAACAGAAATAAATTATATTTGCTCATAGAGTGCCATATCCTAGGCAGAAATGTTATGTCCTTTGTACAAATATTTTAAGTAAACATACATTTGAAGCAGATAGGCAGATTGATAATGTCTTCTTTTGCTCCTTGGGGTTTCTGAAACTGTGATTTTATTATTTTATTGTTTTTTAAGTTCTCTAATGTTGTAGGTGGGTGATACTCATTTTAATGGCCTTCATTGCTGCACAGTGATACAGCTTAGGAAGAGAGAGTATCTCTCCCCGTGGTCAAAATACTTGCATCAAAAAAGCGTTGGTTTGGTGTCTTTCCATGTACTGTTCAGCATGTGGAGGTAAGGCATTGAGAATAACCAAGACTGGCAAGTTACAGAGACCCAGCTCTACCATGTTTTTAGGTTCTGAACTACAATTTTTGTATCATTCTCCCGTGAGACTTGACTCGTATATCTGAAGTACCTTTGTAAAGGGGGCCCAAATTAGAGAAGTTAAAAGGTTGCCTTCACCCTGAAACCATATGGATGTAGGTGAGGGGCTGAGTTAATAAAAGGTATTGTTGGGTTGCAGTATCTCATTGTCCTTGTAGCCCTTTGGTTTCCAGAAGTACTGTCAACCTAGACACCTCTTGGAGCAATCTGGATGCTGTGTACCTTGTCTTGCAGAGGACTAACAAGGCAATGAAGTGGGAAAACCAGCTAGTGTTCATACTTACCAGTTTTGATAGCACTGTGCCAGCCTGATGTGAATTGAGTTTCAGGCAGTGTGCTCTTAGCTGTCTCTGTTGTAATGCTCCCATTACAATCCTGAGCATGTCCCTTGAATTTATCAAGGGACAGTATTCTTCACAAGAGCAAAATCCCTTGACCTTTCCATAATGCAAAAAAAGTTACAAAAAATGCCCGTATCACCTTGACTCACCCAGCCCCTGGGCTGGTGTTGGTTTTACTTCTTCTGTCGTTGCTGTTTTGTTTTTTATTTTGCTTGCAATCCTTATCTATAATGCCTTACAGACATTATTGTCTCAAGCCATTATTTCAGTTAAAACATTTTGGCTGGCTAATGATGAGCAACAGAGGTAAAGGTGACCAGCGCCAGGTTCAATGTCTCAGTGGCAGAGCAGTAATTGGATTATGTTCATTAGAGCAGTCAACACAAACAAAACCAATGCTATTAAATTGCAGTTTCTAACACAGTAATGCAATAAAGAAACTGTGGAAGATTTGAAGGAGAAAACCCCCTGGTGCAAAATGGCTGCTTAGCTGCAGAGAAGTACATGCTTTTTCTCTGGTTCTGCCCTCCATCCCTTCGGTATGGCAGCGGTGGCAAACTGAGTTGCGTTAGTGGCACTGAATTTACAGGATGTTTTGGGGACATCTCTTAACAGGAGGTCAGAGAACCCTGAGTATAAACAAGGAGGCTTTTTAATTGAACTTTAGAGCAATTAGGTCTAAGCAACAGCAAGCAGGATTTTTCCTTTAACTGATGTAATTTTTAGATGCTAGGAACTTACCCAGAGGCTATTATAGGTCAAAGGAGTGGTTTTTTTGTGTCCCCCAAAATTTACTTACAACTGTTTGGGGCATATTCCTCTTTATTTCTTCCTATTACCCTAGGTCAAATGCTGCAGTCGTGGTGACCACTAACAAAAGGGTTCTCAAAAAGTTCTGTGCTGTTAAGACAGGTAGATTTTGTTTCACTGGGTACAATGCAGCAGTTTTGGTCAAACTCATTTATTTACCGTGTGCATTTTGTATGTATTTCTGAGAAATGGAGAGTCAGATGCGGTAGGTAAGGCTTACTGTATGCAGGCAACTAATAGTGAGGGAAGTTGTGTTCCCAGGGTGATCCTGCAGCAATGCTGGCTTCTATAACTTTGTGTGGGTTTTGATGGATTTGCTGCATTTTCTTAACATTTCAGCTACTTCAGGTTTTGTGATTTTTTTTTTTTTTTTACTCATCGCTTCATTAAGAAAAGAAATTAAATTCCTGGTCCCTCTGGTCAAAATAAGATTCAAACTCAAAATCAAGATGACGAATACAAACCTTGAGACTTCTAAAATACCAGCTTGAAGATGTTAAATGTCCATGGGCAAAGGTGGCCTGACTGATATTTTTGAATGCTTATGTTAAGAAATACTTGAGTTCATTTACTTTGGTGACCCTGAGCTCAACTTGTATTTGTTTATATGTAATAAATTATGGTATGTTTCCTTCTCTTGCTACTAGTCTTGTGAAACATTTTTACATCCCACAATTTCTCAGTTCACCCCAGGGCAGAGGACTGTGCTTGGTCAGCAGGCTGAGTCATTACACTGTTTCCAAGGTGCATTTTGTGACAGATCCTCCAGTCGAGCCCTGCGCTCTTGTTTGTTTGCTGCCCTGGACCTCATCAGGAGCGCTCAGACTCCGGTGCTGCGGGCTACTCTGCCCGCTGGCTCTGGGTAAAGGAGCATCTGTTACCTGACGTCTCTGCAGACAGTGATTTAGAGGTGGCCGAACAGGTCGAGAGCAAGGACAATGTCCTCAAGAAACTCGTCAGTTTTGGCTTTATTTACAAGGTACAGACACGCTTGAGCTCTCAGCTGGCTGCCTGGAGGATGACTTGGCGTGCAGCTGCCGCACCTGCAAATACTTTCGGAAAACCAGGTGTTAACCTCTGCTCAAACACATGTTATCAAGGGGGACGCTGTCAGCAATTAACCAAGCCAGTGTGGAGCTTGTTCATACATGTGTATCCAAGTTACGGAAGTGCAACAAAGGCAAAAATCAGCTCCTTGCCTCTTTTAAAAGCGTTGGATGTTTCTAACCTACATGTACAGGCAGTGTTTGTATGCAGCCTCAGGTGTCTGGCATCTGCTACAAAGGTAAAAACTCCCCTGGGTGGTACTTTGTAAACATATATTTGGTGTTAAGGCAAATAGATAAAGAATAGGGGAGAGAAATATCAGTACATTTCATGAATCTGATGAAATCCAGGTGAGAGACATGCAAGTTCTGCAGTAAGACCTGCAAGTAAGTACACTACTAGTATGATGGCAGCCTTTTTTTTTTCTGCTCAACTTACAGTTTTAGTTGGAGAGAGAAATTTTTAAGGTTATGAAGTAAACAGTTTTTTGACAACCGTCTTAGAAGCTGTTAAATGAATGCCAGCCGCTTAGAGTCTCTTTGTCCCCTACATGAATTTAAATTTAGAATTTGTAGGTGATTTTTATAATTGCATATATGAGAGAAATTTTTTGTGTTCTTAGAAGGGAGAACATGGGGGAACAGGATAAAGTAGTGAATAATACAGAGAAGATCCATCAAGAAGTGTGTGAATACCTTCAGCAATAAAGTTTATTTACAGCTTTATAATCCATCCCCCTCCGAGTTACCTGCCCTGTCACCCTTGTACACTACAAGGGAACTGGGTGTAGCCCAAGGGAGAAATAAAATCTTGCTGATGGGCTTACTGTTGCGTGTTGGTTGTCTAACCATCCAGTGTATGGCAGAGGTATCCAATGAAAAAAATTAAATGGAAGAAGGCACAAATATCATTTAGAGAAGTATCAGAGATGCAACTTCCAATCATGTCCTTCCTAGTGAAATTTTTGTGGAAACACTAATGTAAGAGGGTATGTCAGTAAACTTGCTGATTCCAGGCAGAATCAGACTGGTGTTACAAAATTTCAATTGTTTTTTTAAATATTTACTTTAAAATGTTTTTTTTAAATAGTCAAATGTGTTTGACTTTAGGACTTCATTGTAGCCCATAATGCATGGGGGTCAGATGAAAAATGTGTCTCTTGTCACACTTGTCAATCCAGATGCGAGTTTGGATTCTGCCCTAGTGCAGAAATTCAAGATTTTCTTTTAAAAAAATCCAAATTAGTTGTTCTCATAGTATAAGCAAGCTGTTAATGCTGGGAAGTGATGTTATAACGAAGCTGTTTAATCAAATGGTGCGATTTAGGATGTTTAGCAGGTACAGAGAGATCTCAAACACAGAAGAAGTTGGAACTGAGGATGAAATAATTAGCATGATTACTACATTTGAGTGAGATCCTTGTGAATGCC